ACTATACATAGTACCCGCTACTATACATAGTACCCGCTACTATACATAGTACCCGCTACTATACATAGTACCCGCTATTATACAAAGTATCCGTTACTATACAAAGTACCCGTGGGTATTAATCAAATTAAAAAATAAAAATTTGAATAAGACCCTGGGTACTAGAGGTAGTGCTAAACAGTACTTAAAGATATAAGCAAACCTGAACGAACAAGTGAATATTTCAGCACAAATACAATACCTTTGATCTTCAGTTAAAGAATCCAAATATTCTCTAATTTCAGCACCTTCTTCACGAACCTCTATCAGTTCATCATATTTAGCAAGATGATTTAATATCTCTTCATAATTTAACATTTGTCCCTCAGACATCTGCATTCTAACGATGTTTTAATTATCCAACTATTATTATTATTCTATTATTTTGTTGACTAATTTATTTAAACAAAATTAAGACTTATTTTAAAGGAAAAAAAAAATCTAATAGATATTTTTTACCTTGGTTGAAAAATAGATCGATTGTTTTGATGATTCGTCTCTTTTATGGAAAACTTCTCTACTTCGAAACTATCTTTTGTAAATATCAACATTGAATTAAATATAAGATTCCAAAATTTTTAAATGAGATAAATTTTGATCTCTTAAAAAAGAGTAAAGTTACTCGATCCAAAAAAATTTTTTTTTATGGAATAGATGGGATGATCGCCGTAGAAGATTGCGTGCAGTAAAAAATTTTCCGAACACGTGATGATATTCCAATAAAAATCGAGAAAAAATTGAGAAAAGGTCAAGTAGCGTAAAAAAATTTAGAAAAGATCAAGTAGCGTAAAAGTTTAAAAATAATGAATCTTCCGAGCACTAACCAAAAGTTCTCGTGCAATTTTATTACGATATATATATCTTAATCGACAATTATTTACTTTGTGGAAGGTTATATATCAATAGTTACTGCGGCCAATGACATATTTAAGATTTGTACGTATGTACGTAAATTTTGAATTAGCACTAATGAGTAGCTTAAAGTTAATAATATTAATAACCATAAATAATTAACGTACCACCCATCTAGGAAGGGCGCCTCATTAAGGTCATGATGCATATAAGTAATTATCATTAAACAAGTGATATTAAGCAATTATTTGATTTTGGCATACTCACTTCGCATATTTTAAGATGCACCCATGAGGATCACGAAGATCAAAGATTTAAATAGTATATAGCGATAGTTCATGAGTTTAGTTTAATCCACGGGTAAAAAGATAAAAATAAGAATAATAAATTATTTATAATTGAAACAGTATATCTTTATTATAGTGAATTGTTAGATCTCGGTGTCTTTAATATACAAAAAAATAAATACATGATTTATGCCACCAGAAACATAACGATAAGAAAAATTATATAATTTGGAAAAACTAGTTGTTATTTTAATACAAAAATTAAGATAATGAGGATGATAGCATAAAATGATGTTTCACTATCACATTAAAAATTCATAACGATTAGCAGCTGCAAGGTTAGTAAGCCACAGGCAGTCTTCTTTATTGGAAAGAATAATATATGAACTAACGAATTCAAATTAAACAGAAAAACAAATCACAAGAATTAGAATAATTCAGGTCAACTTTCTTGAAATTTATATTTTAACAGGAACACGGAAAAATTTTTTGAAATTGACAGATTTCCATAAAACGTAATCGTTATTTCGTGTCTCGTGTCATTCATTTCTCACGCGACACCACACGCGCGATAATCGACTTATGGAATTTTTTTCAGGATAAACTTTATAATACGTACGTACGTATAATGTTCATTGAATTAATAATATGTATAACGATAATGTTTAATAATAGAAATAACCATATCGATACAGTATAAAACTTTTTTTTTTTGATGCATTGAATGATGATGATGATAAAATGCCTATTTTAGTTTAATATACAATGAATTTTCCTTATTTTAAAGTTTAAGAGATTTGACAAGTCGTTACTTGTTTATACTTGTCACCACTCTTATAGGTTAAATTCTAATGATGAATAATGATGAAGAACAATCAATTTGATTGGAAGCGTGGCTTATCGTTGAACAATAAATATTGGCAAAGCCTCATTCATGACAACGACAGGTGTTTATTGAATGATGAGTCCAATCATCATCAAAGCCCCTCAAAGTGCTATGACACTTCATAGAGAATACGTGGCAATGTTTTGAGAACTTAGAAGGCTCGAAGTTGCAGTGTATTTACACTAGCCAGAAACTGTACTTTGTTAATGGGTGCGTGCATATGTGCGTACTTGTTCAAAGGTCGTTTGCCATTTTTGTTTACGATAAAAAGGTGATACCGGCTTGTTTTTCATAGTGATAACACAGCCACATAATCTTATTTATCTCATACTTGTCGTATCGGTGACCGGATAAGTGTAGTATGAAGGTTTACAGTACATTACGCTCAGAGTTATTTCGGAAATAACTCGAATTTATATTAAAAATCAATGCCGAATACTTCGGCAAAGCCGAAATAGTTTCTACGATATATCTGACACATACGTATGTATATATATGTACGTAAGTAACGTATGTACGCACGCACGCATCATTTTGAAAAAGCATAAATACTACACTGATCAGGTAACCCATACTAAATTCATCTATCTCTCATTTATGCATCAATCCATAATTCTATTAAATTTTGAACACCAAGCCTAAAATTCACACATATATAAGCCCCATCAAAAATATCGCAAATTGATATTCTTTTCCTTTTAGATTGTTATATGTTCACAGCCATCTTTAGTTTCATTTATCTACCTTTATCCTATTTTTTTTAGGTTGTAATAAAGTTCGTCTCGATTGTTCGCTTCGATACGAAATACATACGATCAATATCAATATGAAGAAAAGATCTATTTTTTTAGTTTTGGTCGTTTGGGTTGCCCTGTTTCAAGGTAACTAGTGTTAATATAATGTTAACATACGAACGACCAATGTCATTAAGAATGACTTCTGTTTTTCGTTATAGGCGTCTTTGCCCAAATCAAAAATTGTAATTCTGCAAATAATTATTGTTTGACTGTCACGATCCCAAGCACTATGTATGCTGATGATGTCGCTACATTTGAGATGACGGCCCCTTCAACCATTGGGTAAAGATTGCCTTGTTCTACAATAACTTATCTCCCAATGTGCATTCCAATGTGTATCCCAATGTGTATCTCACTTATTTGATTTGTCTCGATTTACCTACTAGGTGGATTGCTATGGGAATCGGTGATTCTATGGTTGGAAGTTATATAGTAGTATGTATTCTAACTTGTGTTGAATTTAGAAATTGGTGACTTTTCGCTCAATTTTCTCTTTATTAGATGGCATGGCCTACCACAACAAATACTGTGGCAATTTCTCAGCGCGTTGCCTATAGATATGCCGTCCCGGAAGTAACTGAACATCAAAGTGATATAACTTTACTACCCTCTAGTGGTGTTAAAGATGGTGTATTTACTGTGACCTTTACACGTCCACTTGTCGTTACCAATTCAACTATTAATTCTGCTACCCAAAATTTTGTCTGGGCTCTTCACACTACTTCACGTCCTTCTGATGATCCTTACACTACGACTATTACTCGTCATAATGACATAGGTCATTTTACGATAACTGGATCTATTTCAAATTATGATAAATATATAATTGCTCATGGTTTGTTACTTTTTTAAATATGACCATTGATTTTGTACATTATAATTAATGTTTGAATTTTGGTCTTTTATGTTTTAGGTCTTTTAATGTTTTTCACTTGGGGCGTTGTTATACCTGGTGGAATATATGTTATTCGCTTCACAAGGAATATTATCAAACAATTTGTCGCGCTACATTGGGGCATCATGACTTTTCTAGGTGTACCATTGATCATAATTGGCTTACTAATGTCTATTGCTGCCGGTGTTAAATTTAACTCCAACAACACACATCACGTAATATATTTTCTGTACTGTATTACGATTTTATTTTTAAACCACCTTAACTTTCGTTTTTTTTTTTTTTTATAGGTTATTGGTGTGATTATTTTTATTTGCTTCTTCCTTCAATTAGCCCTAGGTTGGATTCATCACCATCTTTACGATCCTTCCCGTAAATTCATTCCTTGGTGGACGAGGCTTCATTGGTGTGTATCTTTTTGGTTAATGTTTTGTTTTATTATTTAATTATACTTTTCTTTTTGTCAACGTTTCATACACTTTCGAATAGGTGGTTTGGAAGAATATTAGCTATTGGGTCCTTTTATCAGATATCTCTTGGTCTTGCTCTATACCATGTCGGAAGTCCGTTGGTTACTGCATATTACATCTGGGTTGCCATTGTCATTATATTTTACCTCTCAATATCTTTTTACCTCTGGAGAAAGAGAGAAGCAGAATTGCGTATATACAAATCCTCAAATACTTTATATACTGGAGTACGTAGAGAAGATCTGGAACAAACTGAGGGTTGGTTTCAATTTATAATAACATCTGTCGTTCTTATTTTATCGTTGTCTACAATATTGCTCAGCATGCTGTTTAATTTACCTTTTTTTTTTTTTTTGCAAATCATTAAAATTCCATATTCATATTCATCTTTAGGTCTTATGACATCAGACTTATAACATCAGACTTTACTAATTCGTGAACGGTTACCGATAGAGTTCCCTTATGTCAAGCAAAAACAAACCTAGGATCGACCTCCGTGCCAACATCCAACGTAACGACAAACAACATCAACTGTTATTATTTGTGCCAAATTAATATACAGTTAGACTTCTTTTTAGTCACCTACTATACAGTCACAAATTTTATCATTACATTTATAAAAGTACCAACTACTTTAATATTATTTATAAGCACAATTGGCTTATGGTAACTATCTTAAGAACCATTATCTAAAACCATTATGTAATCACATTGCTATCAATATTATAAAGAAATTATTTGTACTAGTGTAATTATTTTAATTATATTATTTTTTTTAATTACCAGTTACATGCTTTAAAAATTTTGTCTAAATTTGTTTTAATAATTACCTAATTAAGTTTAATAAAAAAAATTATTTAAATTTTAAATTTAAATAAAATTTTTATTAAATTTGATTAAGTAGTTATATATTAGGATATTTTAATAAAGATTACATATCGGTATATTGAAATTTTAAATTATTTAATCGAACTTAATAAACAAAATTTTTATTTGAATTTTATGATTTGTAAAACTAAAAAAATTTTAATTAAATTTGGTTAAATGGTTAATACAAAATTTTAGAAAACTTTATTAAATAAATTAAAAAATATTTTAACAATTAAAATAAATTAGATTATTAATTAAAAAAATTAGAGTTAGAATTAGGGTTAGTATTAGAGTTAGGGTTAGAAGATATATATATGCAAAATTACATGCTAAAACTTTTAATTAAAAACCCAAAACTAGTTTATATAGTAAAATTAAAATTTTTAATTTTGTCTTGTTATACAAAATTCTACGTATAATCTAATTGTATAATTATATTTTAAGCAGCCTACTATATTTAACAGAATTCTAAATTTAATAAAAATTTTTATATAAATTTTACAGTATTTTAAAAATTAATATAGTTAAATCTCTATTAATATCAAAATTCAAAAACTCTTTCTAACAATCACTTGAACCAAAACTATACCAAAAGCAGATTGAAGATTTAAGGCCTAAAAGCTTCAAGATACTTGTGGATCCTATTAGATAGTTGTCGACAAAGGCTTTATATGTAAAATATCAAGAGCATATTAATGCTGGTTTGTGCTTAGAGTTAAGCTTTTCTTCTAAAGTAGACTCCTCTTTATATATTTAGTATTCAAACCAGAAGGTTTATTTTGGTAATAGTAGTAGTGAAAAATTTTCAACTCAAGTATTAGAAGCATTTAGTGTGATAAACAACAACTAGAAATACTTTTTCTGTTTTAGATATTCATAAATACAAAATATTTTTTCTTTAATACTTTTGACTATAATTTTTGACAAAAAGTAAAGAATTTGGCAAACCTTCTCTAAAAGATTAATATTGTTTATTATTTCTATATCAGAAAACTACATCAGCAAAAAATATAGGCCGATATATATCGATCAATATCTATGTGGATATATATTGATAATAATCCCCCCTGTTGGGTTTTATCGATTGTGATAGTAATCGATATATATCTGGTTAATATTCAATCGATAATTATCGATTATGCTAATTATCGATATATAACTTTAAT